CCACTGTTATCAACCACAGTGTGAGGTTATTTACCTCATTTTTAAAGAGCCTGAGCATTCTGGTCTTCTCTGAAGCCAGTTTTTTGTCCAGAATGGATTATCCATCAGACAGCTGAGCTGATGACCCACTATTTGCATGGCTTCCAAACCATATGAGACATCAGCAATATGGGATTTAACTTTGATCAGATTTCCTGAAGACAGATAGGAATAAACTGCACACATATGTACAGCTTGTCATCCCATGACTGCATGGTGGGGTAATGTTCCTGTGTGCACATAACTATTATTCTAATAGAGCAGGAAAAAAGGAAATGGTGAAACTGAGTGTGTAGGCATAGTTGCAATACAGATAGGACTCTTAAGTGTGATTTCAACAGGAAATTAAGTAATACCTTCTATCATCTACACTAAAAAACTCCTTTGACCTGAGTATTTTCCAAGTTGGCTTACGAAAATATTTCTGGTGCCTCAAGTATGGATGCTGATGTAAGCTAAAGCTTTGGAAACAGTAGCTCATACACCCAGCAGGTGGTACCTTGGCATTCCACAAGTTTTCTGCAACTATTTGGAAAAGCACTACAACAGTCAACATTAAATTGTTATCTCAGCCAAGTAACAAAAACAAGCAGTAAAAATACGTTCAGAACACAGAAATGTGGTTGTTTGCTCACACTTGAGAAACTTTGTACCTGACTTCAAAATTGGCTCACTTAGCCAGGTCTGGTGGTTTTAGTTCTCTAAAATCCAATCTACACCAGTTTCAAAATCACTTTAGCTAAGCCAGCTTTAAACTGTTTAAAAACTTCTGCTGCGTAGACAGACTGTAATTCCAATATAACTCAGAATGAGATGAGGAAGATGGGGGAAAATAAGCGCAGAGCACTTAAAAAGAAACACATTCTCTAAGGGAGAAGTATAGGTGTCTTTCTTACACTATTTTTAATTACTAGAGCATAAAATGTTAAAGCAACAAGCTAATTTTTTTTTTTAATTCTGTATTCCTCTGAATAAAAAAAAGTTTTGGTTAAAAAAAATCTTAACATGAGGCCTTAAGACCTTATATATTCTAACTTTAGCATGGAGAGTCTATTTTTACAACCACATTAGAAATTCTGTATATAGGCCTGACTGACCTTGTAAGTATAGTGGTGCTAGCAGCTAATCATGCAATATCATAAGGCTCTGTATAACAGTAAATGCTGATTTATTTTGGTTATTGGTACAAGGACTCCTGCTCACTGCCTGTGTAGAGACTCTGCATATTTTATGCTTGGAAATACAGTCCAGAACATACTCAAACTGTGACTATATAACCTGATTTTTCTTTTCTTAAGGGTAAAAATATATTACAATAGGTAATGTTTTATATAGAATACAGTACTTATTTTTATTGTTGCATAAATGCAAAATATTTTTTTCAGAATAGCAAAGCATTACAGAATTTTTAATCCGCTGGAGAAAACACTATTTACAGTATGACCAGTTCTTTCAGCAAAGCTTTTGGGGTGGTATATACCAATTGGCTCTGCCAGCTTCATTTTGCGCTAATGTTTATCTTCAGCATTGCTGTAAAAAAAGGCTATCTATTTTTTCATTCATACTAGCCCTTATTGGTAAAACATTTAGAGAGGCAAGGAGAATCACTTGGAGGGCCTGGGCTAGTATTAGCAAAAACAACCGATCTATACCATATTGTTGTCTTTGCTAGTTAAAATCCTTTAAAGAACATACCTGATGTAATAGGAACTAAGATTTTGACAAACACCAAAATGAAGCATTGCAATTTACAACTTTATAGCTTTGAGTGTGATATCTTTGTCATAAACATTACAGGTATTGGGCTGTTGAAGTGAATGAATCTGGCTTTCATGTAGCTAAACAAAATGTTGCTTTTTATAAAATAAAATCATTGTAATTTGGGGTTCTAAATTCCTGCTCACTTTTAATAACAGCATCACAGTATCCACTTCTATCAGAGTATTTAATACAAATGCCTGTGGTTTTCAATGTTACTAACATATTGTAACATCAGTAAAGTGACTTTCAATGACAAAGACTGTTGTATTTTGTTCTCAGAAGTCCTTCTGTTTAGCGCTTCCTGTTTCATAGGTCTTTGTAAAAATAAAATGCTGCACACAAGGGAAAAAATGCTAATGGCTAATAATAGAATACAGATACTATTTTTAATAGAATACAGATGTTATTTTTCAATATATTTTCAATACTGTTCTCAAGGCAAATCTAAAATTACTGTTCCTTAGGTTTGCATGTCTGAGGGAAACCTAGAAAAATTGTATATTCTAAGCTATGCCCAATTGTTTGCACAAAGGTCAAGAACAATCACCCCACTTAGTATCATATAAGCATCATTCCCAGTATGCCTTTTGGGAAAGAGAAACGCTTAATTCCAAGTTATAGATAACTGTGTTTCTCTAAAGCAGGTAACTTACATATTCAGATTGCTTACTGAATCTAGTCTTAATGGGGAAGCAACTTTAGCATAGGTTTCAGGTTCTACATTAGTTTCAGGTTCTACATTAGTTTCAGGTGGTTCTTTTTAGTTAGATGACAGCAAATTCTGTAGGTACTCCTTAGCAAGTTTCTTAGTTTATATCTAAACACAAAAGATGATTTATCCTATTAGTCCCTGTGAGTACCATGGATTTTTGAAAAGCTTACAGAGAACAAAAATCAATTCTTTCTTGGGTAAGTGAGAATTTGTTCCTAGTTTTGGAGCAATTAGTTTGACAGTTTTTTCTGTTTTGTGTTTAAAAGATCCATGAAAAAAACCGTATTGGTTCACACTGTTGTTCTTGCAGCATTTCACTGCCCAGTACCTGGCTGATGCCAAAATAGTAATTCAGCCTGGGGAAATAAACCGAGAAAGACTTCAGTCTTTCTGAGTGTTTGTTATTGGTCCCCTTCTTCCACTGCTCCAGACACCTGTTATGTCTCTCATTAAAAAAAGTACCTCCCCAACCCTCCCAAGTATGCAAAATAAACTAAACACATTTTTTCAAGCCAAGCTTTTCTTTATAGGCACAATTTTACTCCCACATATTATTTCATCAATAATTCTCATGATTTATTTTATAACTTCATACCTGTACAGGAGTTTGGAACTTCCTCAGGGTGTCAGATCATTTAATAAGTTCTGCTTATCTACAAGAATGTTACATTCATTATTGCCTGACGTTTTCTTTCATTAGCAGTTTCAGGCCTGTGGTGGGTGGAAAATTGGAAGAGGAAAAGCAAAAAAAAAAATTGCACACCAAGGCAAAACAGCTTAATAAATGAAGGAAAAAAAAGCAGGGGGGGAAAGCCATGCAAAGGCAATCACTCACCACCTCCCACCAGCAGACTAATGCCCAACCAGTCCCCAAGCAACAGCTACTTTGCAGAGACTTACCCACCCCTACCCCAGGTTTATTGCTGAGCATGACATTATGTGGCATGGAATATCCTTTGGTCCATTCGGGTCACCTGTCCCCACCATGTCCACTCCCAGCCTCTTGCCCACCCTCAGCCTACTCGCTGTGGTCACAGAGTGAGAAACAGACTGCTCAGCAACAGCTAAAACACTGCTGTGTTATCAATGCTATTATTTTAGTCACAAATCTAAAACACAGCAGCCTGTGGGCTGCTATAAAGAAAATTAATTCCATCCCAGCCAAACCCAGTACAAGACCAGAAACACAATTTAGCAAAAGTGTAAGAGAAAAGTTGTGTGGGTAATGAGCATTTTGGTAAAGATGTCTCATCATTTTTAGGGTAAAATTAACAGTGTAAGGATGAATACTGTAGTCTAATCAAGACCCTACAGGTAGAACAGCCTTTGCTTCATACTCTTACTAACCTCGTCAGCTGTCAAAGTTTTGAACTGCAGCAGAACTGATGTTGGCTACTTCACTCAGACAAACCTTTAACAGACTTTGGTCATTATGTTAGATATGTTTTCTGTAGCACTCCACGTCCATTTCCCAACTTCATGTGCAACAGGACAATGCACAATTATCAGAATGTGGAAGTATAATCATGTCTATACCTTTAAAATTAATTTTTAAGGAAAGAAAGAGAACTAGCTTCTGAAATGAAACTAAAAGTGATACCCAAGGGATTCTGAATTAAGTAGTAAGTACTAGTTGCTTCTTTAGGTGAGACCAGCCAGCTCTGAATTTATAGCCCAGAAACGACAGACCTGGATTTTACAGTACTCTTGGCAAGCTAGGGTATAAAACACTACCTTCAAGCAAGATACCTGCTCTGAGGATTATTTCTGTTATTTGTCCAGTGACATATATGCGTATGTATCTCTATATATAGACGCATGCACAGTTTTGCTTTCATTCCTTAGTGCAAAGGCTGCTCCCCAAAAGTGCTCTAAACCACTAATATAAGAAATATACTCCTTTTAACGTTCTTCTGGCATTCTTTGCCTTTACCAGGCTAGCAAAAAAACATCTATTACTCCTCTGTGGTAGGCAGAAGGCAGAAATTAACAAAAGTTTCATTAACTTACTTCATTGGAAAAAAGCTTGAGCTACCTTCATACAGTTGTGCTGCTCTCTCTTCCCACACAATGTCAATCTTCCCCTCAAAAAAGAAAAAAAATCAACCAAAAAACCCCACCAAACAAAAAAAAACCCCATTTTTTTCCCTGAAAAACCTCAGGCAAAAAAAGTCTTGCCTTTCTGTATCTGCTTTCATGTAAATTCTACAGCATTGGTAATCACTGCTGTGATCGGAAATAGTAATCTGGCAAGAACTTTTCAAAGTGTGTGTTAGTTGGCATGTAGAGGCAGGAAGGCTACCTGTTAGGGTTTAAAGTGGAGGAGACAGAAACATTAATTTACATGTAACTGAAGTCTGGCAGCTTAGAAGTTCATTGTTAAAGGGAAAGTTAATGTATAAAGTGACACAGCATCATTTTTGTATGTTTAAAAATAGTTTATATAGTGACACAAACAGAGCAAGAATCTTGCTGGAACAATAGCCCCCTATACAAGAGCACACTGCTAGAAGAGTTCTGTGCTATGTTTTGTCGCATCCCTGCTTATGAGAAGTTCCAACAGGTAGTCTTACACTCAGCACATGGTGTCACCGACTTCATCTTGAAAATAGCTAGCTGCTGAAATAAGCAACTTAAACTTACTGATATTCTAACAGACCAGCATAAAATGATCATTCCAAAAGCTCTTTCACTTCGTACATCTGTCTTACTCCTATCATCTTGTGTCATACACGTGATACTATTTAAGACAGAAAAAGGTAAGTTGCACTCCAGGAACTAGTTTTAGTGAATCACAGGAAAAAAGTAAACACATTACAGAAAAATTTACTATCTGCATAATTTGAGTTATACATAGTGAATTGCAAGTTTATGAAAATAAAACCATCTTTAATCGTCACAGGTTGGAAGTTAAAGACAACAGTACATGAGTAGTTTATATTCATTGTCAAAACTAAAAAAATGCAAGCGTGTAAAGCAATACCCTCATAAAATAGGCAATCTGCAATATTGAGATACACAATCATTGGAAGATTTGGCAAAGCAAAACACAAACTGGAATGTTAATTGTGATCATCCACAGCTTGCTTCCTTTTGATTCAGACGCTCATAACACACTGTATGAACTGAAAAAAGAAAAACCACTTATTAGATGTATGGTAGAGAACAAGTTTTCACTTCCTCCTCCTAAAATACCCATTGTCACTACCCTCTTCTGTAAACAAATTGAGTCCATGAATGACAAAGCTTTGAAACTAAATATGAAAATTAGCTAATAGTTAATTAAAACAAAGCATCTCCTTAACAACAACAACCCCCCCCTCAGGAATACTTGAATCTAGTGTTCTCCTTTTCCTTGCACAGATGCAGTCAGGAAGCCAAGACCTATGGGTCTGACTGCGATTTGTGTCTGTCCCCAGCACACCTCCCCCAGCCTCCCCTGGGAAAAATGCCTACCAAGCCTTAAAACAAAAAATGAAAAAAAGTTACAGAAAGTGATGTTAGCAAGCAACACAGCTTCTTAGATCTTCTTGAACCATGCTGGTAAGAAGTCCAGACAAAAATGCACAACGACATTTTACAGAACTCTATAAAATATGTGAAAATTTTTGAGACAATGCTCGACAAAACCCACAACCTTTGTACTTTCAGGTAACACCACAAGTACAGGGAAGACGGGCACAAACTCACATCATTACTTTTAGTCTTCAGTTTAAAGTTTTTCTTTAGTTTTACCTTGTAATTTTAACCGATTCCTTAAAGTTCACTTACATCATCATACTGGAAGTTCACAAAACCTTGCTGAGATGTATCCCTTCTTCTAAAACATTCTGCAAAAATGCAGTAAAAAAACCAAAACAGAAACCAGGTCAGAAGAATTAATCAATTTTTTTAAAATGCATAGTACTTCAATAAAATTCCCCAAGTCACATGAATGAGGACTCATGAAGAACACTGCAGTTCATTCCAAGACTTAATTTCCTGTACTTAATTTTTGTATTTATTATATACAACCCTTTATGTTCTGTTAATAAATACAGTTTCCCAATTTTGATAACATAACCCTTCTAGTCTCTGGAATAAGCCCTGCATTAGTTTTAAGTCCATTTTTCAATGGGGATTTAAAAATCATAATCTATAATTGTTCCAGTTCTGCCTGTAAACTGTATTGAAAGAAACCTATTTTATGGTACATAAAAGTTAAAGCTGAACTTGAGATTAGTGAGTAATCAGATTTTATTAAATAAAAATATATTTCGGGGATGGTAGTAATAAGGCTATAATCCAGCATACCAGTGAGAGCTCTCAGTTTCACACAGCAGGCAATGTAATCATCAAATGTAATCTTTCCACGAGTGCTGTATCGCCTTGTGATTGCAGTCACTGCCTGTGGGCTCAGTCTAAATCCTATTTGAAAATAAAAAGTCTATTTTGAAAAGACAGGTAAGTTAACAGAATCCAACACATTTTTAATTGGAAATATCAAGTGTCAGTTACTGCAGGATGATAAATGGTACTGGGAAATGCTGTAAGTCAGCGTCAGAAGCAAGAGCATTTCACAACTTACCCATATTCATCAAGGCTTTCTCTAGTTCTTGACGATCCACTGTACCACTTCTATCATTGTCAAAACTTATGAAATGTTGCTTCCAGCCATTGACCACAGCCCAGAGTTCTTTAAACTCATTAAATCCCAGTGTGCCAGACATATCCCTCTGATTGCAAAGCTAAGAAAAATATTTAACTTAAAAAAAAAAAGCCCTCTTCAATGGAAATTTATTTTTATCATCTGTAGTTAAAAATTCTTTCTTGAAGGTCAGTATTAACAATATTTTTACTATTATTAATTTTTCTAGAAAACTAACTAGAGCATCCCACATCACAGAGGTAATACTACCGACCAAAACCAAAGGTCAGAGAACTTGCTCTCCCCACTTCTCAGTGAAACCTGATAAAACTATTTGCTCTTTGTGAATTTAACTTAGTTCACACACTTCTCTTTTACCTGCCGCAGTTTAACTGTTACCACTAAAATACATATCTGAAATAAAAATAGATGCCAAATGAAACATGAAGTTAGAATAATATCAGCTCTCTCACATTCTAAACAGTTAGTTCAGGTGAGCTAAAAGCCCTTCCAGTTTCATTTCTGCTTTTTTCTTTTTAAAAAGCAAAACATTTGAATGTGACAATTTGACTAGAAAACTCCAAAGATTCCAACCTTGCACTGTATACCTAAGTCTTCCATAGGTCCTACTGCTGAATGCCACATACTGTCCCACTAGATACTCAAACTTGATTCATTCAAAGAACAAGATTTAGGGGGACTTAGATTATATTCAGGCTGTGTAGTACAAATGCTTAATTCATTAGGAAGGATTAGAATGTTGTCCTGTTTGAAAAGCACAATGAACGGTTTTCACAAAACTTCTGGGCTGCCAGACCTGACTCTTCACACATTCAGTGGAGAAACAGTCCCCTAGGGTTAGAGGGATACCACTTGTTGTAAGATCAGTCACCGAGAGTCTCATTTATTATTATTATTATTATCATCATCATTATTATCATTATTATTTCATCCTGTAGAATGAACAAGAATGGAATTTTGTAGTTCCTTAATAATACTCATGAAGTAAGGGCTGAATGGGAATTACAGAGCATTTCCAAAACTTTGGCACCCTCTCATCTTTGCTTATGTAATGCAAAAATGTTTACATTTCATAGTAAAGGATACATCCAGCATTGAGATCATGAGTCTGCAAGTCTCTAAGTTGAAAGCTGTTTAAATTAGAAAAAGGAAAAATAAATTATATTAAAAGAATGATTTTCAGTCTTGTTTGTCTAAATGTAAAATTTTAAATTGCTTTTTCTTATATACTGATAATATATTATAATTATAAAATATTACATAATTGCTTCCACTGTATATAGCCATAACATATTTTGACCCCAATAAGAGCTTTTAACCATTACTTGTTAGAAAAACCGACAGCAGACAATCTGGAGGCAATTCAAGTTACATTTAAAATTAATTTGCCCTTATCTCAATCTGTAAAGGTTTTGGGTTTCAGTCAAAGTGATCATTTACATTTCACCATAGACACCACTTGAGCAAGCCAGGTTTACTCATACAAGCTCCATTTTGTAAATTGAACACTACATCTCCTGACAGAGGAGTCCTGCCACAGAATTTTTTGGTCAATATCAAAGCTCAATTTAAAAACAAAGCAAAACACCTTTTTAAGAATTGGCTGTCCATTACAAAACAAAGCTCCGAAACACTTCTCCAACTCTGCAGCTCAGCAGTGGGGAACTAAGGAGGCTGAGAAGGGACGGCACACAGAACTGAATACAGAGAATTTACATTGCAAAGTAGTCCACATGGAAAGAAAGCCCATTTACCATGCAAATAAAAAAAAACTCTGCAGAAGGCACAGCTACAAGTGTTTTCTAGAAGATGGCAAAAGAATTAGTGTGCTTTAGGGTTGGAGGTTTTTTTGGTTTATTTAAATCATTAACTTACGTTTATATGCTCCTGCAATCCCTGACTGGGTGAGACATCTCTGTAGTTCATCAGCATCTATTTGTCCATCCTTTCGATAACAGAAGATGTTATCAGCTATTGTTTTAATTTCCTCTCCCAGGCTGGTTATTCCCAGTACCCACTCCCTTTTCAGCGGCATTAAATTAGTTACCCTTTCAAAACACAACTGATTACCTGCCTGCTATATGACAGAAACTGCCTTTTATAACCCGTATCTGTAATGATGTTTCTTTAGCTGATTTTTTGCAATATGCATTAGCTTTCCCATCTACTGATGTACTAAAAAATGAACAGGATTGGCAGGTTTGCTCTAAATGTAACTTCTAAAAAAAAAACCCAAACCCACATCAAATAGTGGTAGCATATACTTGAGAGCAAGCTGCATAAAAACCAAGACGCAAAATTTTGAGCAGAAAGACGGCTTTCCTTAAAGTACTAATTTTAACTTAGTGGGTATTGTAGTCACTTTAGATTATATGTTTATGATCTCACTACTACAGTAGGAAACCTGGAACCCAGATCATACATACCCTCTTCTCAAGACAGCCTTAAGACTTAACAAATCTAAAAAAACCTGTTTTTTTGGGGAGTAGTAAGTTGTTAGCAGAACAAACAAAAGCAGAAAGCAAAGAACCTTGAAAGAAAAACAAAACAAACCCAGAAAAGATACCTATCTGCATGGTCTGGAAAATAACTTGCTTCCAATGCATCCTGCTCAGGGCCAAATAGAGAAAACAACTGCCAATTCATGGAAAGCAATGAGCTGTCAAAAGTGGAGCTGGAATTCTAGGTCACATTCCTCTCACACACCCAACGTGAAGTTTTGTTCACAGAGAGTTTCAGTATAATTTAGCCACATTCAGGGATGGAACATTATATCTGTAGATATAAAAAATGATGTGACTTTTGTAAAGCATTAAATAGTGAGAAGAGTTGTTTTATATTTGAAACAAATTTATTTGCCTCAGCATTCTCCTAATGTTTTTAAATCCAATAAACATTTTTTTTTTCTTCTAAGAACAGAGATATGCTACTAAATGGCACAGCCAGGTATCTTTCAGAAATGGTGTATCATTATTTAGAGGACAAATAGTAGTCCAGACGATAAATGACATTTGACAAGGTCTGAAAAAAAAGAGCAACATTTTGATTCTATGTAAAATTAATCGCAGCTAAACCCAAAATTGCTTCCAATCTACTCCATTGGTCTAACTATACAGATGTATTTAAAACTTTACATTCACAGGAAAATAAAAAAAAAACATATTGGAAATAGCCATGCATATTAAGCAGCAAATCTCTTCAAAGCCCTTGTGCCTTCTGAAACAAAGGCAGGATCTGCATAACTTTAAAACAGGCAGGAAGACAGAAAAGCATGATTTGTAATCATGTTTAACATTACCAAAAAGATGCTTGGCTTTTTTTTTTTTATTTAAGTAGAACTTAAGCAGTTAAACTAGGCAAGGCATAGGGGCTTTGCAAACAGACTGAAAAAAGAAAATTATTAGTTCCTACAAAGGCAGACTTAATTAATTGAATAAAGATTTGAAACAATACTTTTGACTTTCTTCTGTAAACAAAGGAAACTAATTTCTCAAATCTAAGACAAGATCTCTGTTGTAAACTACTTCAAATAAAGCTCACAGATAACATTATAGGCATAAAAACAACACAGAGAGCAGCAAACCATAACCAAAAACTTCACTAATTCTACAGTAAGTACTTATGGAAAACTGTGAGATGTGGGTTTGCAGATTTGCATGGATGGCTGTAAAATTAACTGATAATTTATCTGTTCCATTTCACTGTCTCTTTACAGGGTTTTTACTTCTGCACAGCTACTGGTGTCACTCTTCCAAGGATAACATTTCAAAAGCTACCTAGTTTATTTCAATAACTAATTACTTCTACAAATAGAAAGTATTTAAAAATACTAACTTAAGTACTCTTAAGCGAACTTGTTCGTACCCATTAGCTCACTGGTTCCCCAGCTTTCAGTAACCATGCCTCAGGCGAGAAGCCTGGGGATGGTCTACGCTTTGCTGAGGTCCAGCTCCTGCCACCTCTTCTCCACAGCGCTGCATCCTGTTTGCTGTTACCTCCCTTTCTCTTTACACTAGGAGCTTACTCATTTTTCCAGTGTCAGTTATTGGCTCCACTGCTGATTCCTGGCACACATCCAGGTGGCACCTGGATACAGAGGCATCTCAGCTGGCAGGCAAATTGTCAGCCCATTCAGCAGAATTTAGCTTGGGCTCCACCTTACCAGAGAGGCCTGCCTCACTACACATAGGTCATTCCAGTGTTCTCCTTTGCTACAAAAACACACTGTCTACCTATTTTCATAAGCAATGTTAAAGAAGTAATATATGGACTGTAAGATGCATTATTAATTCAAAAGAATAACGTAGAGAACAAAAATAACCCAAATTACAGTCTTAAACTGGGAACTTAAACATCAGCTAATATTGCCGAATTCAAACTTTCATGTTGTGGCTATGTCTACCTGTGCATAACAGATCCAGGAGCAGAGTTTTAGACTTGCACACGCCCTAGAAGTGTGCAATAAATAGCTATATATATGGCCCACAAAGACATAACTTCAGCTCAATAAACCTAATGTACTTGCTCCTAAACTTTGTAATATAGTTCAAGAACTACTTATTTCTAGTAACACCCATAATCATATGGAAACAATCTATGACACAAAATTACAAGAAAGAAATTTAAAATGCAGTGCAGAATGACAGGGGGGAAAAAAGAAAGGCCTAAATCAAAGTTGTGAATGCCTTTTCCTCTAAAAGAGTAATCACTCTATCCTACCACCAGACCCAGATACTGGCACAGCTCAAGACTGCTTTTCCATTTGTGAAGTTGTTTTGTTTTAAAAACTTGGAACAATAGTTTTCCCCACTGCAAATATTAGGCATTCCTCTTTCCAAAAGCTAATGTAGAAATTACTCCCCAGGAAAAAAAAACCCCAAGAAATAAATAACATTTTGTAAGTTTACCTGCCCTGCTACTGCAGCAAAATAACCATACAAAGGATCCTGAGCTTGTCCAGGGAACGCTGGCCCTCCTGGAGCTCCTCCATACTTTAGAAATCAAGAAGAGAATTAATTTTAAATTAATGACTCAGGTAATTGTTGAGAAATTGTAGTGTATGTACTTAAGAATCAGCTTCTGTTTTTATAGACACACCATGCAAAAAAGTCAAATCAACCAAAAAAGTATTGCCTGGGAGAAAAAAAAAAAAAGGCACAATCTTGGTAGCAATATAACCTTTTATTATAATTGAAGGAGATCAGTGTAAAACCTTGCATAGGAGCAATCCACTGATCTAGATGCAGTATGGTGTATCTCATCAAGGTTGAATTTTAGAGTCTATTACTAGCAGAAAATGGGGTACTGAAGATCAGACTACTAAGGCACTGCAGATTTTTATTTCCACTTCAAAAAAGTTGAGCAAGACAGATCTCTAGGGAAAATACTTGGAGGAATACGTGTTAAATATGGAAATTCTTAAATAAAACTGATTCTTAAGTGAAAATCATGGAATGACAGAAGTTAATCTTGTTTGACGGAACTGAACCAATCATCTGTGTAACGGAGTCTACACGCATCTTTTGCCGAGACAAGAATATGCCTTTTTGTGGAGATGGCCAGCGTTTCATCAGGAGTACCTTGCTCTTCGAAGCCGCTTCGCTACTTCTCGGCCCCGCGAAGCGAAGGCAGCTTTACACGCGGGATCGGACACAAGCCCTCGCGCGGGGGGCGGCGTGGGGAGCCGACTCGGGGAGCGACACCCCCCGAAGTGACTGTGGCCCACCGGCGGCACCTGCCGGGCACGTGCCTCCTCCCTCCTCCCCTCTGCCGCCGGCGGAGCCCCGAGCCGCCCCGGCCCGGCTCCAGCAGCACCTCCCGCGGGGGAGCGGCGGCCAGGAGGCCGGGCGGGCCGGGCTGAGCCCCGCCTAACGCGGCTCAGATCGCTTCCCCGGGCGGGCCGGAGAGCCGACAGCCTCCCCCCGCCCCGGTCGCGGAGAGCCCATGAAGCCGCCCCTGCCTGCGCCGCGGGGACGACAGCCGCGCTCTCCCCCCCCCCGCCCGCTGCCGGGCGCCTCAGGTCCCCGCAGGACGCGGGGAGGGGAAGGAAGGCAAGGCA